ACGTGACTTTCATCTACCCCGTGACATGTGACTTTTGAGGCTTGTGGCTGATTCGCGTGGCTGATAATTTCGTAATTTCGGCTGAAATTATAACTCATAATTTCTAAGTCGATTTAAAATTTTATTCGTCGATCTACGATTTAATTGGTCAATACTTTTCACGTGACATGTGATCTCATGTGACGATTGATGATGTCACCGCGATCGCATTTTACCGTTATCGTTTCTTTCGTTTTGGTCTTTATTACTAATAACTCTTCTTTTCTTTGGTGAATTAGATAGTGAATGATCCCATTGCGTCCACAGAGGGGGCACCAAAATTTTGTTATCTTTTTGGTGCGAGTTCTGAGGTGAGGGCGAGTATTAAACCTAATATTAATAATATATATAAAAATCTATATTATAACAATATTTTAAAGAATTTATTTAATAAATCAAAAATTTCTAGAAAACTTATATGCTAAATTTTAACTCTAGAGAACTATAATTTCAAGGTTAAATATTGTAAAGGCTAAATTTACTTTAATATAAATCTCTTATCTAGATATTTTCAATCAGAACTAACTTAGATATAAAAGAAATAGAAAATATATTATCAAAATTACTTAATAACTATTTGATATATTCTTATCTGATTATTTAACTTGAATATAATAGAATTACTTGAATACTCATAAAAAAATATATGTTAAACTAGAGAACTTTAACTATTTTTTGAGATAAAAATAAAAAATATTTGTTAGTAAAATTAAAAACTTTTATATGTAAGAAAAATCATGTATTTTACTAATTATAATTAGTAAAAAATTTAAGCATTATATTACTTTTGATAATTACCATAATTTATAATATATTTAGTAATTTTATAATTGATAATTAATTTTTAAGTATTATTACTAATAATAAAATAAATATAATTAAGTTAAATTATTTACTATATAATAAAATTAAATAATAATTTAATAATTTAAATATTATTTATTTATATTATATTATACATATTCTAAATCTTAATATATATATAGAATTATAAAAAATATTATTAGAAATAAAAAAAATATATTTTTTCTTGATATAAATAAAATATATAAATATAAATAAAATAAATTATTAAATAAATACTTAATAATTTATGTATTAATAATAAGAATAAATTATTAATAATTAATATAAAATAAATATAATATTATATTATAATTATAATAATATTAATTATTATTATTATATAATTATATAATATATAAAGTTATTGATTATATTATAAATTATATAAATTTATATTATATATATAAAATTAAAATAAAATTATATGATTAATAAGTTAAGATATTTAATATTATATTTCTTTTTATATTAGAATTTCTAGTTTAAATATATTAATATATAAGTAAAATAATTTGTTAAAATTAAAATATATTATTATTAATATTAAAATTAAATATTATTTTAATATATTAAATACTTATTATTATAAATTAATTTATAAAAAATTAATTTTTTTGAAATAATTATATAAGAATACTATAACTTTTATAAAGTTTTTAAATTTTTATAATATAAAATAAGTTTTATAAATTTTTATAATTAATAAATATACTTATTATTTTTTAAGTTAATAATTATATATAAATATAATTATTTTAATATTTTATTTTATTTTATAAGATTAAAATTCTAATTATTAAGTTTCTTATTTGATTTAATTTTTACTTATTCTTGATATTAATATAGCTAAATTTTAAAATACTATTTTATATATAATTAATTAGTTATTAATAATAATAATATTATTATACTATAATTATTTAAAATTTATAATATTCTTTTAATAATTATTAAATAATATTTTAGTTATTCTATTATATCAATTATTTTATAAATAAATTTACTATTAAATTATTAATTCTTATTTAAAATTTTCTTTATTATTAAAATTTTTTATAAGTTATAATTATTATAATATTCTAATTATTATTAATTAAAAAGAATTTATTTTAATTTCTTTTTAAATTTATAATATCTTTTTCTTTATAAAAAAATAATAAAAAATTATTATTAAATTTATATTATTATAAATAATAATGTTATAAAGTTAATATAATATTTATATTTATAAAAATTAAATATTTAATTAAAATTAAAAAGAATTTAAATCAAGAATTATAATAATTAATCAAGTAAATTAATCTTATTTTTAATAAATATATATTTTATTAATAATCTTTATATATTTATCTTATAATAATGCAGAAAGATATCTTATTATTTAATTAATTATATTATATATTCTAATTATTATTTTTAATTTATCAATTCAAATTTTCTTAAAATATTCTGCTAGAAATCTGCTTAAAATTTTGTATATAAAATCTTTTAAGACTGATTCTATAATAATTACTTTGCTTTTTTTAAAGATTACTATTATTAATAATCTTTTAAAAATTTTTTAAACTTTTTTTAATAATATTTTTTTATATAATAAAACTTTTATAATTAATTAATTTGTAATTATTCAAGTTTCTTAATATATTATATATCTAAAAATATAATAATTGATGAAAATTATAGAAGAAAATACTTTAATTTTACTATTTATCACTTAAATAATAATTTTACTTGTGAAATATTTGGAAATCTATACATAAAAATATAGATAGATTTAATCATTTTAATCATTTTGATTAATAATTAAAACTTGCTTTACTTTCAATTATTAGTCATCTAATTTTGATATTTCTTCATCTAATCTAATTTTATTTTTTTGATACTTATTTTAGTATGATTAAAAATCCATTTGATTGATTAATTATGAAAAAATTTTTTATATTATTCAAATAAGAAAAAGTCCAACTTTGCTTATATGTAAACTTATGGTACTTTCCTTTTTATTAAAAGATATATTGGTAATATGCTAATACCGAACATAACCGAATAACATGAAGTATCTATCTATTGTTTTCGTTTTTTATATATTGCATCTAATAATGAATGATTTCTAGGTAAAAAAATATGATAATTCATATGAGTCAATTGGAATTTAATTTTAATTTTGACCAATTAAGTGATGATCAGCTTTTAGCCAATCAAATGGATTTTAGAGAGGGCAAATCATGGTCATACAGCGTGCATATCTCTTCCTGATCATGAGATCATTACCGACATCAGGTCTGGAAATAACAAGGATTCATATCCATCCTGGAACGAGTATACGTAGGAAATCTCAAGGAAGTTGTAGTTATCCGTAAGGACCGATTGTACTAATTCGTACATGAATTCATCGAGTGGATTTTTTAGAAACACGATGTCAAACTCATGATTCTCAGTACGGATGTTGAATTAACAGATCCAGATACAATGATCTTAGAGCTGCCACAAATAAAAAAAGAAGACAAGAGATTGAAGACGTGCAAGATCTGCATGATCAAGAAAGAGAAATATTGAAGAGATGGATAGAAAAGTACTGATAGATATACAATTGATATCTCGATCTGATAAGAGAAGGAGAACGCAGAACTAAAGAAAACGAGTGATTAATAACGATAATTATCAACTTGAGAATGCTTGGGTAAAGAAAATTCCTTCTGGTGTACGCGATCGTGTATTGTCCGAATTGTTAAAAATATATGATATAAATCTTAAATTAAATAAGAAAAAACAAAAAAGTATAAACCGCAAATAATTTCATTAAAAAAAGGAATTTCATATGAAAAAAAGGTGAATATGCATTTCTTAAGCATATCAAGATTTCGAAAAACTTTCCGAAATAAAAAATGCCGTTAATATCACGTGAGACAGACTGGGTGCAATCAAACGAATTCGCAATTTTTCACTCATTCATATATAAAAAGCATCTATGAAATCGCGTAAAAACCAAGATCTCTCTCAAAAAAAAAACTACCGTATCAAGCTTTCGACATGAGGATTCATTGGTCTCCTAAAACTCTTTGCAGGGCCACAGAAGACATCCTCCACGATTTCATCATTCGATGGTGAACATTCTCCAAGTACCGGAAAGACGGAGAAGATTTATAGCATTCATTTCTTCTTTTAGTCAATTATATTATTGTTTGTATCTATCAACAATGCATGTCAAATATATAAATAAATAATTATCACTGTTATTATCATTCTAGAAAATTGCTACACATAATTAACAAGCAATCTTAGCGAGAAGGGCAATGTTGTGTCGGTGATAACAATCTCCTCCCCTTCACCGACTAACTCTCGTAATTTCTTTTCGAGATTCGGCCGTGTGCTCTTTTCTAAGGGTGGTGGCGCTTGTAGGTATAGTTTCTTTGAGGCTGTCGATAGACTCGGTCTCTTGAGTTGGCTAATATCATAGGAATAATTAATTAAACAATGATCTCATATTTAAAAAGAAAAAAATTATATAATATTGAACTACTCACGCCTCAGGTTTTTCTTTTAGCCAATCAATAAACTCTTCTAACAATATATCTTTTTTCACCTCCACAGCGACTGGAATGTTCTCGTCGGAGCAAACAGGACATTCGAGTTTCTTTTGGTGTTCGAAAGTGTATGTATAGATTCCCTCGTTACCGGTGTACATCATGTAGTTATTTAGATATGGTGCAGTAGTGGTGGCAAGTTTGAATGCTTCATTACAGCACGCAGCTTAAAATTCATAATAAAATATTTTCGGATGAGCCCTAGATGCAAACAATTTCATTTAATGTTTTGGAATAAAAAGTTAGAACTTACCAGCAATTATAGCATTTGTTGAAGCAATAGCCGGAATAATATTCTTAACAACACCCTGCGTGAGAGTATACGTAACACCTGTTATATTGAACTGCTTTGCTCTTGTAGTGGCAGCTTCATAAACCCATTGAATATGCTGCGGTTCATCAGTATCAAGTTTCTGATCTAAACAAAATATCATATAAAAAGTGAATAATAAAAAAATAAAAATAATCCTAAATATTATAAGAACCTGGAAATGCTTTCGGCCATTCTAAAACATACGCCCATTCGATACAATGTTCCGGCAGACGTGGCGTATTTGCAATCGTACAAATCGGAAAAGTGGTTGGTTTATTCAACATGTCAAGCGAGCACTCGTAACACGAGGTAAGCGTTGGGATGATGACACGCGCTTGACCCTTAAAACCTATTATTTAGTAATATGTGAATCGAGAGATTTCTTTAATGTCAATGATGCATGTATGTTTTGCGTACCTTCAGTGCCTCCATCAATTAACGGTATTATCTCTTCGTTGTCTCGTGAGATTTCAACTATAGTAGCATTCATCCAACGTCTTGCTTCCACAGAGTCCAGTCCACATATCACAATCTGAAATTGTGAGTAATAATCTGCGTCTTTATCTTGAATTTTGCCATGATAACTTTTTATAATAAAAAAAAACAAAAATAAATTTCGAGTTTTCTTAATAATATTTTCTACAGAGTAATTTGTCGATTCAATGATCGAATAGACTCACGGAGTTACCGTTACACCGGAGACGCGCTTCATCACAAATTCGGCCGCAACAATAGCCTTCGGACGTCCGACATCAGAAGGTCTACATTAAGCGTAGATCGAATCGAAACAGATCAATTCACAGAAAATTATTATCTTTAACAAATACATGAATGACTAATATCTTTCTTAATTCTTAACCTAAATAAAAATTGTCGATTTAAATTTGACACATCAATTGTGTCCATATCGATTACGTGAATATTTTTGAATCCAGAGAGAGCAAGATTTTTCAGTATTTCACAGCCCAAGCCACCAGCACCGATTACCAGAATTTTACAGGTGTCCAAGCTATCTTTCTAATGTTACAATAAAAGGTTAGAAACTTTTTGAATAGATTTCAAATTCAAACAGAGGTTTACACTCACTCCTTGACCAGGCGCAAAGCTTTCGTCGCAAAAGGGTCCACGACGATTCAAAAGTTTATTTATGTGTGTCCATCGATCTATGTTTGAGCTAATACCATCTTGAGAACCTGTTGGAGTGTCTGTTTGCATGCGTGTTGCCATTCTTTAAGAAACTAATAAATCAATTGATAGAATTCGAATTTACGATGATGAACCCTTGTAAACGACCTAGAAATTAGATATTTCCCCTGTATAACGAATATATAATGTATGCATACGGTAATCATAGTATCTTCTCCAGGCGATTCTTTTCTCGAAAATGTAAATTGTCTGTGTTTGCCATGTAACCTTTCTTGCAAACTGAAATGTTTTATTTATTCACAATATGTCTGGTGCAGGGCGTCACGACGTTCATTAAGGAAAAATACAACGACGTCAACTAAAGTTACGAGTAGAGCAACAAAGGCAAGAATTGAATCTCGTTATTGATTCGATTAGCATACACCATGAATATTAAGTAATTTTGTATAATTAAAGGAAAAATCAGTTTCCAATACCGGGGACGAAGATACCTCTGCTTCAACTTCTACCACAACCACGCCACCGCCAATCACCATCACCCAATACAACTACATTCCTCCCTTGAACTTGAACACGGTCACAAAACCGTTCAAAAACCCACACTACAAAGCACCCAAAAAAGCGAAAAATCTTAAACAGATTTTGGCTGCTGAACGGTTATTGAATATACCAATGGATATCCCAACTTGTAATTGTTTCTGTTTTCATTTTTTAATTTTTGGATTTTTGCGGAGAAATATTAATTAATTAAACAATAGATTCGAATATCGAAGCACCCCCTTCGCTGCATCCGCAAAAGAAGTATTGTGACATTACAGGATTGGAGGTAATTTTTGTCTTGATTTTCATTCAAAAAGGGAGGATTTGAACAATTGTTTTAAATGTAAAACGCGTGCAATTATTATTTTATTTGTGATAGGCGAAATATACTGATCCGAAAACCAGGCTCCGGTATCATTCTTCGGAAGTCTATAAAGAAATAAAACAAATGAGCCCGGGCGTCGTGCAAGATTATCTTGGTGTGAGAAATGCAGCGGTGGTGTTGCGATAATGGTAATGATAATACACTTAATATTGCAACGAAGGAAAAAGATGCTTGTATAGTATGTCATTTATTTTAATTCTTTTTTCTACTATGTCGTCTCGCTTATATTTATATAGTTTTTCGCAAATTATATAGTCAGAACTCTTTAACGATTAAGCGAATTAATGATAACTAAATTTTGATTTAACGACCCAAAATACATGATATCGTTATATTTTCTATAAAAATCTACTGACATATCGTTAAATTGAGTTCTGATTGTATTAATAATAGAAAAATTATCTGTCTAACTAAATAATTAGTTAATTATATTATTTTCGAAGGTATAAATAAGCACATGAGTTACATATATATGCAAGCATATATATGCATATTATTGTGTTGCGAGTATCCCTGCTTTTAGCCACGCGACAATAGCAAATAATAGCCAACAAGTAATCAACAACAAGGCTATCAATCCAAGATAGATCTGTGAACGTTGTCTCTGTTTCTTCATAGCTTCCTTAACAAAAGTTGAGTCATCCTCAATAACCATCATTTCTATTCCTTGTCTAGTGGCTAATTCATCTCCATTCGCTTGTACATATTTAGAGGTATCGTGATGATTACTAACATCGGTAGAATTTATTCGTCCACCCTCGTATTTTTTATCGCCCCACCAAAAAACCAAAGAGCTCAACAACAATAAAAAGCTCAAAATCGCAAACATTTTCAATGCCACCAAATCATCGTCTTCGTGACCGTGCTCAACCCCGTCTTCATCAATGGTATAATTGGATTTTTTTACGTGTGCATCTAGTATTAAACCTGCGATTGTTTGACTGAATGTCGCGCCTATGTTGTTGAGACTTTTGTATAAGCCTAAACCCGTTGATACGTGTTCTGTTAGTAATGGAACTAAACTGACGACTGTTAATGGTAATAGTGAGAAAGCTATCGCAAAAGAGATTATCGGAGGAAAAGGATGAATTAATCGTGGTGGTAATTGGAGAAGTAGATAAGTCAATAGAACTAATAGAGATGAGACAATTACTGCATTTTAGGATTAATTAAAATAAAAGTTAGTGAAATCGATAAAAGAATAATATTGTTTGATATATAGAAAAATCAGACTTACATATCGAACATCTTTTTCCATATTTATCCAAGAATAAACCCAAGAAGGGATATATTATAACTGGCAACAATAATATAATTGACGCGTCCCATGCGGCCAATAAATCTGTTGTTGCAAATCGATGCTTTATAATATTACTAAATATAAAAATTAAAGAACATATAAAACAACGAGAAACGAGTATTAAAAAAAAACCACACGATATCAATAAAAAAGAAATAATAAATACCTCGAAAGATGAAGAAACGGCTCTATCGATGAACCATACAACAACACGACAACCAAATACCACCAAAACATATTTGATAGATCGAAAATTGCACTCCAACGAACCATTTTCTTTTCGGCCACTGTGGATAACGCGATCCCCTCGCGATTTTTATTTTTGCGATTGTCAGCGTGTTTCAATAATAATACGTAAATAATGTTCATCATCCAGGATAGAAAGCAAGTAAAAGTTGCTACCAGAAATGGTGTACGATAGGTGAATGGTTCCATCATTGAGAGTGGAACTGTAGTTACGGAAGCCAGAAATGCTGCCTATATTTCAGAATATATCTACTTAACATATTTTATTGGAATATAACTAAATAATTGATATATTATTTACCAGTCGCCCCATTGTGAGCCCTGTTGCTAATGCAAATCCTAATCCATGTCCTTGAAAAAAATGTACAATAATTGTCTCTTGTATGATTGTTAATGGAGCCAGCCCCATTCTATAGATCAAATTGAGAAAAAACGTGATAATTAATTCTTCGTCCACATCTACATACATGTATATAAGCAGCATAAAAGCTAAGAACAAAAATTGACATACCCAAAAACAGCAAACCCTGTAATCATTGCCCATACTTTGCCACTCCAACTAGCGGCCGTTACTATAGTAATTCCCAAAAGTATGATAGAAGTCACCACAATAGAACTATTCGTGGTACCAAATTTAGCTATAAGTACGCCAGAAACTGTCGGTATCACGGTATTACACAACGTGAGAGATGCGACCAGTAACGAAAATTGCGTGTTTGTCAGGCTAAGTTGCTATGATTAAAATGAGGAGGTAGGTGTATACGTGTATATGTATATATATATAATGTGATGTATACATATATATATATAAAATATACATTTTTGGAACCAAATCAATGATTGATGGAAGAGATTTGTTGTTGTTCCTTTTCATAATATATATATTATTTATTTTTCATAAAATCAATTCTTTTAGCAAACCAAACGTTCTCTTAAATAATTTTTCTGGATGTAATTACCTTCATCAGAATTCCTTTCATTGGTCCAATAATGTGCCCTGCGAAATGACTGCCAATGCCAAAAGTGCACGCACAAGCCATTGCGATCATTTTGATGACTTTCTCTGCTTTATCACTTTTAATAAAGCTTCCTCTTCTACTTCCAATAAATTCATTAGCAGCTGTGCCATTGACACCCTCAGCACCGCCACAATTTGGAATTTGAGTAAAAGAAGTATCCACTGACGGCTGCTTTATTAACCACTCTTTATCCTCTAGGTCAGCATCGGAAAGTGAGGAAATATTTCTTTCAAGTAGCCTTGAAAACTCTTGTGTAGAATTTAAATTTAACGTTGGCTTGGTGAACGATGGTAGAAATCGGTCATCTTCGTCATCTGTTTCCACATCATCGTCTAATAAAGTTGCTGTGGGTATTGTGGTTAAATTCAGTTGTTCCATTTTTTAGTCACAGTCGCAAAGTATGATTTTTAGTTAAACGTGTATTGATTGACAATTTGTTTTTAATCGCATGAATAATATTATTTGAAGGGGCGCTTGTGAGTTTTAAACTATCGCTATTTGTTCTGGCCATTCTGGGATTAGCAAAAAGTTATCAATCCTATTTATCCAGAAGATCTCTGACCAATAGATAATAATGCAGAATTAACTCGATGCGAAAAATAGATCGCACAAAGTGACAAACTTGTAATAACAAATATTTAAAATATTTTCAAAAATTTGATTTCTTTCAAACTTTGTCCTCTTTGTCGTGTAAAAAAAGGCAAACCAAATTTTCATTAAAAAAGAGTACTGACGATGTCGCAGTCTGAATACGATTATCCGGAAGAGGGAAAAGATATCTCCGGTGGTGAAGAAACTAAACTCAAAAAGAGAGATTATGATACCTATGTTGAGGAAGAAGCTGGTGAAGTAGAAAATGAGGAGGAAGAGGTTGAAGAGGACGAAGAGGAGGATGAAGAGGACGAAGACGAAGAAGACGACGATGAATATGAGGAAGACGGAAAGAAGGTAAAAGAAAGAATTCGAGCTTAGATCCATTATTAATTTGCTCTTTATAACCAAAATTGTTGTGAATTGATTTTTAGCGTAAGAAGCGTCGTAAGGAACCAGGCAGCATGTGGGTTCTTGATGAGGCCGAAGTTGAAGATGAAGAAGAGGAGGAGGAAGACGACGAAGAAGAATTATTTGGCTCAGAGAGTAATTATATATTTCTCTCAATATTTTAGTCAAATAATTTTTTACTAATAATAAAAAATATGCTCGATTTTATTCTATACTTTCGATCTTCAAAGAATTCATTGCGCAAGATGAATCAGAAGATGCTCAAGATATTGACTACATGCAATCACGTCATCTTGAGCTTAATCGCCGAAGAGACGAAGAAGAAGACTTCGATCCAGAAGCTCTAGCTTCTGAATTGAAATCTCGCCATGGCAGAAAACGAATTACAAGAGCTACAGGAACAGATTTGCCAAGTTTCGCGCAAATTCCGGATGTACATCAGCCAAATATTTGGGTGTTGAAATGCAAGGTTTGTGATTTTGAGTATTTTATATTTTTATTCTTTCGATTAGACCGTTTATATTGAAAATTTTGTTATGTCTTTGTTAAATAGCCTGGAAAAGAGAAAGAAATTGTATGCTATTTCATGAAAAAATCTCTAGAAAATGAATATTCTCAACATCCTCTCGAAATACTCTCCGTATCTTACCGTGAATCGCTGAAAGGCTATATTTATGTGGAGGCTTGGCAACTTGCACACGTTATGAGAGTACGGCTGTCTTAATATTATTTAATTTATGCGGAATTGGATATTGAGATTATTGACCATATTTTCATATCTCATCATGCATAGGCTGTAACAAATGTCAACAACTTATATGGATCTACTACAAAATTGGTGCCATTGAATGAGCGAGGCCAAGTTTTCGATGTAAGAAAAAAACAAGTCGATTTGATTGTTGGTGGCTGGGTTCGAATCAAGAAAGGAAAATTCACCGGAGACTTGGCACAGGTATTGTTTTGATAAAGAAACTTTTATTTTTGTAAATGATATAGTTTTTAACATTAAATAAAATTTTTAGATTAAAGCTGTTGAAGAATCTGGCGATTCTTGCAGAGTTAAATTGATCAAACGTCCTTTAAAAGACGATGATGGTAAAATGCCTGGAGGAAAACGAAAAAAAACAAGTTATTCGTCATCTGAAGCCAGGCGTGGATACATCGAACGTGACATTAAAATCACAAATTTAGTAAGTCTATTTTCAATTTTATAAATCTTTTTATCTCTAATAACATCATTTCAAGCGTACCTAATTTCGCACAATTTATTTAGGAAATGACAAGCCCATCTATGGACGAAATTTCCCAATTCCATGCTGCCGACAATGACGAAGAAGTATCAAAAACTTTGGCCGAAACTTCCTTACCTGCTATGGTTTTGAGAACCGATTTTGAAGTAGGTGAGGAAGTCGAGACCATAAATTCCCCCAAAAAGTCGGGCATTATAGAGAGAATCGAAAAAAATATTGTATATTTTGTTGGTGCTTCTGGGCGTCAGATGGAAGAGCAAGTCACACAGCTCCAGAAGAAGTTTGCCGTTGGTGATCATGTTAAAGTGTTGAATGGCAAACATCGAAATGTGACTGGCATGGTAGTTAGCATTTCCGGTTCTATTGTTACGATAGTCTCGGATAGTACGAATGAAAATGTAAGTGATTGATATATATTTTTATAGTTAATAAGATTTACAAAACTAATTTACTTAATTGTTTAAATAATTAGATTACAGTCTTCTCAAAGGACTTGAGAAAAGCTACAGAGGTAACTCGCAGTAATAATGCTGCATTATCCAAATACGAATTGTACGACTTGGTTAAAATAGAGTAAGTATTTAAATTTCCAATTTTTTTCCTTCTCGACTACTGCTTCCCATTCATTGGCCATATTATTGTTAACCAATAATAGTCAAGTTGCGGTCGGAGTTATCGTACATGTAGAATCCGGTATATTCCGAATCTTAGATCAAAACGAAAAACTCATAAGTCTAGAAGCAAGTCAAATTTTATACAAAGTCGACTCTAAAAAGCAGCCAGTTACTGATGCTAAAGGAAATCCATTGAAAACAGGAGACTTTGTTGAAGAGATTGATGGCGACGTAAGTACTTTTTTTCGTTGATTGCATATAAATTTCTTTACTTTAACATTCTTTTTAATCAAATTTAGTTCCGAGAAGGCAGTTTGTTACACTTATTCAAACATTTTGCCTTTGTAAAGAATCGGTCAGGTGTGGAAAATGGGGGTGTATTTGTCACTAAATTTAAATCATTATTAAATAAAAGCACGAAATCTGTGAGTATTTTTGATAAATTTATTAATATATTCTAAATTTAAAAATAATTAATTTTTTTTATTTTCTAATCATTAGGGTACAATTGCTTATGATAAATTAAATCCAGCAATAGCAGCTATAATGAATCAAAGACTCCCTCCGCCACCACCACCTCCAACACGTAATTCCTCTTTCGGAAATCGAGGTCGGGGAAGAGGTCACTTTGGCGGTGGTAGGGGACGTCGAGATGACCTGATAGATAAAACTGTGACAATTATTCATGGCCCTTATAAAGGTTATATTGGAATAGTGAAAGAAACTTCGGATTCAACGGCTAGGGTCGAATTACACACTAATTCTAAAATTATAAATGTAGAAAAGTCTAAATTACAAATGCGAGAGTATGTCTCTATTAAGATAATATCTTCCAAGCTATTTAGTTGCAGAGAAAAATCAGTTTCTAAATTTTATTTGTTTTCTATAGTCAAAATGGTGGAAGTAGACCTGTCTCCTTAGATTATGGGGGTGGTAGCAGTAACTACGGCTCCCCTGCATTTTCCGGTTCTACTTGGCGCCCTGATCGTTCATCTCAATGGTCTGGATCTCGAACTCCAGCATGGAATTCAACAATGTCTCCAAATCCTCTTATCAGCGATGGTTCGAGGACACCTGCTATACACTTAAACGATGGGTCAAGAACACCTGCTATACACATGAATGATGGATCAAGAACACCATCATGGGATCTTGGAAGCAGGACTCCAGCCTGGGGTACTGACGGATCTGAAACACCAGCCTGGGATTCCGGAAGCAAAACCCCACGATGGGGTGATGGATCCAGAACTCCAGCCTATTCATCAGATTACCCAGGAAGTCCAGCCACCGATTCTACCACAAGCTTTACAGCACCAACACCTGCGCCTGATACACCTGGTTTTATTGCTGCAACTCCGGGAGTTAATACACCTTCGAATTATACAGCTCCAACGCCAGGTCCTTTTTCTGCACCTACACCAGCACCTTTCTCCGCACCTACACCAGCACCTTGAATCATTATTATTTTTTGATTTAATGTATTTTAAATGAACATTAATGATTAATTCTATATTAAATAATATCAGTAGCAAATTCCAAGGCGCGAGCTATTTTTTCGTTGAATTGTGACACATTGATCGAACAAAAACTGTATCCATTATAACAAGAAAATAAAACCTTATTTATTTTAAATCCTCAAACGTGAATTGCTAACAATTCGATAATATATTATTAATCTATTTAATCATTAATTAATGGGAGATTTCTATATGAATATAGATATTTTTACAACAAAATTAATTACATCTGGCATGCACATCGCCTCGTAGTTAAAAATTAAAGAATGTATGTGTAATTAACTAGAAAATAAGGATTATCAAAGGAAATTTGCAGTTTTGTATTTTCTCATCTTTGATTTCAAACGAATCATTTAAAAAGTTTGTGTTTATCATTAACTATTTATCATAGGCGATGTCCAGGAACTGCAATGAAAATTCCAGTAACGATCAGCGATACAAATAAGCTCGCTAAAAATACTCGTATGCCTTTTCGTCTTTGTAATTTATAAATAAACAATTCTCTAATTGTTTGAAACTTTAAGAAGGTTGTTTCACTAGAAATTATAAAAATAAATAAATAAATAAATTAATATGAATTTATTATTTCAGTATTAATGCAATTAATTTTATACCTAATCTTTAATAAGACAAACAATGGACTAAGCTCTGTTTGATTGGCAAAAAGATTTGATATTCCGAAAAATATTGGAATGAAACCCTATTTTTTTTTAAAAAAAAGTTAAGTGCCATCAAATCATACACCAAAAAAAATTATAAATAATATACCCACCCAAAGTCTCAATAGGCGTTTCTCATCTAAAAAGATTAGACTCAACTCCACCGAGAATCCTACAAATAGACAAAACAAACCCAGTGCCAACCGTAAAAGCGTTTGTAAAACAGTCATATTTCCATAAGCTCGTGCTTTTAAAAATCGCGGAAACGGGTCCAACCGCATCAATTCCATTACTTCATCTTTAGCCTCTTGAAACACGCCCGGATCATCTCGATGATTCTTCTCTATTGCAATCCGCATTCGTTCACGAATTGGCTCCGCTAAGTTACCAAGTTCTTTCTCAGACTGCGCTACTACGTATCGATAATAAATACGATCCGCGGAAAATTTTATGTCTTCTCGCGTTACTGGTCGTTGTCCAATAAACGAAAGATTACCAGTGGTATTCGATCGAACTGAATCTCGATATCGTGGATTTCTATCTGCATTACCACTCAGCTGTGGAATATCTATTGCGTAATTTGGACCTCCGATATTGGGTATTAATGGTGAAGGAGCGCGTGAAGAAGCAGCACTCGTTAGAGACGTAGAATCGGAACCATGAGAAGAACCACTTAGATTTCTTTTCACGCTTCCAACTCCTCCGGCGCTTGAATTAATGTGCCAACGACCTTTTTCTTTAATATTTTTGTATTGCACATACTCTGGATACTCTGTGTTAACATCTACTCCCGCTTTTTTCATATCTCTCACAAAATGTTTACATAATATTTCATGCTCGGCGATATCGAGCCAAAAGTCCAAGTATTCTTCAGCATGTTCTCTATCTCTCATGAAAAGGTAAAAATTATAAAGACAGACGGGTGGTGCTGTCTTTCGATATAGGACCTCTTCTAAATTGGGTAATCGATTTCGGTTTTGTGTTGAAAATTTTGCTTTGGCTAGTCGTCGACTTTTTTCTGTAGCACCTCCAAGTTGATCATGAGTTGACATTTTGCTTTTTTTTCACTAAACTCTATATCATAAGAATTTTATTTTTTTTACGTTACGTGACTATTGATAATTCTTCCGTATTAGAAATAATACTTTTGGCAAGTTTTTAGTCCTCCAAATCTTATATTATTTATTCTCTAAATGCTTAACCCCCACAGAGGGTAAGACCCGTTGAATTGTAACTGGGAAGGATTATTTGTATTGTGTATTTGTGTATGCTTGTGTACAAAAGGAAGAAAGCAGGTAGTAGAACGTTGTCGAAAGGGTGTTGTTCCACTATATAAATTATTCAACGGGTCTCTTATTGCTTACTTTGGTAAAATAACGATGGGAGATGTTCAATTACATGTGTTCGCATACATATCCTAAAAAGGTTAATTATAATTCGATGATATCGATATTTTTATTGTTCCGCAACTAAATTAATTTATTTATTATGGGCCGGGCATATAATTACACGAGATTAATGGATCCATTACCCTGGAAATGCTACAATAATAAGTTAGTATAAAAATCATAATCCTCGTCATGTCTCATTTCTAGGAATATTCTTGTACTTGATGATGACTTGTTTTTGATGGATGGAATCTTTTTTAGATTTTGTCTTTTCGTCGAAATGCGTTTTTTAGTTTCTCGTATGCAGTTTTAAGAAAATTTCCATTTTGATTGTTGCTGTTGTTGCTATCTTTGCCTATGTTTGGGGATGAGTAGTCGGATGATGATGAGAATTGAGAAGAGGATAATGTTGATGTATAAGAAGATGATAAAGCGGACTTTTTACTAGAGTATCCTCCTTCGGCTAACGCTTTGAAGTTTTCTATTAATTCACGCTGTTTCAGTGTTAATGTACTAATTTAACAAAAAAAAGTATTTGGAATTAATTTCAAAAATAATTTAAATAAAAAAGTATCAATACTAAATTAATGTATTATATATATACCTTGGTAATTTCACTTTAAATGTAACTATTTGATCCCCGCGCTCATTCGAGTTTAATTTCGGAACACCACGTGATTTCAGTCTTGTTTGTTGATCGGGTTGTGTACCTGGTGGAACTCGAAGCTCAACATCTCCATCCACAGTCGGAGTCCGAATAGTCCCGCCAAGAAGTGCGGTGTAAAATGGGATGCTTGCGTTATAGTATATATCCTGATTTTTGCGCTCGAATAATGTAGAAGGTGCGACATTGACAGTAACATACAAGTCACCCGGCGGCCCATCATAATCGCGATGTACATTACCTTGTTTAGGTACTACTATTCTCATCCTATTTTCGACACCTAATTTTTTACAGCAAATTTTAAATCTAGTCTATAATTTTTTTTTAATAAAACTAAAGTGGAATTAAATATTTACCAGCTGGAATATCGATATCTACAGTTTTTCTCTCTATCACTCGTCCAGCACCTCCACATGTAGTACATCGATTTCCCGCGGAAATTTTTGTGCCTTTTCCTCGGCATGCATTACATAGGGTTTGTGCATGAAAGCCACTCGATAAGCTCACATGTTGCATACCAGTACCAGAACACACGTGACATCTTTCTGGTTTTTTGCCGCTTCTTGTACCTAACCCTTTACAAGCTTTGCAAAAGGTTATTGGCTCAATTAAAATTTTTTGTTTTGTCCCCTTGATTGCCTCCATAAAAGATATATTCACGGATGCCTATTAGGTTTATCATATTACAATAATTAATTCATAAGAATTAATATCAAAAAAAAAAAACAAGCGACGATGATTCGAAACCCGTATATACTTCGAGATCGTCTCCAGGTGTAAAAGCTTGTCCGAAACCAGCTGAAAATCCGCCTGAAAAGCCGCCTGTTCTTTGTCCACCAAAAGCCCCAAATAGTCGCTCGAATAGATCTGAACTATTTGAGAACCCACTTGCCCCTCCTTGGGTAAAATTAAAGCCTCCCATATCTTGACTACTTGTGAAACCTCCAGCACCCGTTGGTTGCTCTTTGTTAATTTAATAAAAAATTAAGCATATCTATTACTTTATTATTAAAATTAAAAAAAAGAAAGATATACCTGAAAATTCGTGTCCATATTGATCATACTGTGCACGCTTCTCCTCATCTGATAGTACCTAATATATACAGAGTTAAAGATGTATTTTTATAATTTAAGAGCCTAACAAACAATAAAGACTTGTAATATAATGTTAGCAATACTTGCATCATATGCCTCTTGTATCTGCACAAATTTTTCTTTTGCTGAAGGATCTTTATTGGTGTCAGGATGGTATTTTTTTGCAAGCTATTATCAAAAAAAAATTAAAATTATATAAAATTCGTTTGAAAATGCAATAGGAATTAAATTATAAACTGATCGTACTGAATAATAAGCTTTTTTAACATCAGATTGAGAAGCAGTTTTCGGTACTCCAAGTGTCTCGTAGAAATCTTTTTTTGATGATTGGTTCGTCACTATGAAAAAAATGAAAATAATCAATCAACAAACAAAATACTGATCCAAATAGCTTTTTTAAGCACGAAGTAGCAGTTCATTAACCTGTCACATGAAATGATCGCTTTTCGGAAAAAAATACAGGATTTTAATAATAGCATTTACGAAGAAATCAATTTCGATCAGATATAGAAAAAGTTAAAAAAGATCGACTTACGTAGGAAACACGAATAGGGTGAAATAGCAATTCTGAGGAAAATTTTCTGTTGATTTTTTTTTTAGATCAGTTAAAATAAATCGAATTAACTTGCTGCTAATTATCTTACCGTGATTTCGACGCCCAGCCACAAAATACGACGCGTTCCCCCACGTGACTCCTTCGAAGAGAACCACAGTTAAAGTTCTTTTTAGGAAAAGTGTCAGTTATACCTAATGGAAAATTTGGAATTATAGTAAGATCCAACGGAACTTCAGACTAATTGTGTTCTTTGTCATAAAAAAACGTAGATACATTTTTTACCATTGAGATATGATTTCGTTCCTAAGGATGATGAAAATCTCAAAGATATATAGACAAATTTAATTCCTCGATATTTATTATTAGGTCTATTCAAAGACACCAGAAATGTTTTACATATCGTTGCTTTGCTTCGAATCGAAAACATCATCTAAATATTCTAGGATCTACAACCACTTAAGTGCACCAAATTTTTTTGAAAAATGAGTCATGGTTTAGAAATTTTTTGTCCCATATAGGATCCGCAAATAAAAATTGCTGTTATGTAATAAAACATGATATATTTAATTATATCTTTTACTATTAAAAATAATTATTGAAGTAAAAATCAAAAACTCAAAAGAATTATTGAAATTATAATGGTTGAAAAATCATTCAATTAAATATAATAAAAATATGAATCAAAATATTTATGATAAACAATTTATATATATTAAGTTTGTTAATTAATAAAATATTATCTCCTCTAAATACATTTATTAATCAAAATTATAAATATTAAATATTTAAATGTTAATTTTTCCAAATTCCCAAGTGTATAAAATACCAAATTAAGTTATATGTCAGATAAAAAATATTTATAACAAAAGAGTTATCACTCAAAACTGAATAGTTAATAATTAAAAATAGCTAGTCAAACAAAAATTTTAAACTCGGGTTCGATCTTCATTTAAAAATGCGCACTTTAAGTGATTGTAGATCCTAGCATGTTTGGATGATGTTTTCGATTCGAAGCAAAGCAACGATATGTAAAACATTTTTGGCGTCTTTGAATAGACCTAATAATAAATATCGAGTAATTAAATTTGTCTATATATCTTTGAGATTTTCATCGTTAAAATTGGTAAGAAAAACACAGATTGCACCGATACACTCTACAACGTCATTAGAAACGAAATCACATCTCAATGGTAAAAAATGTACATTTTTGAGACAAAGAACACACTAGATTAATTTGAAGTTTAGATTTGGATTTTATTTATAATTACTGAATTCTATTAGGGATGATAACTGATACGTTTCCTAAAAAGAATCATAACTGTGGTGCTCTTCGAAAGTGTCACGTGGGGGAACGCGTTGTACTTTGTGGATGGGCGCAGAAATTACGGTAAGATGATTAACAGAAAAATTAATTCGATTTATTTTATCGGATCTAAAAAATCAACAGAAAATTTTCCACAGAATTGATATTTCTGCCTATTCGTGATTCATACGGAACTACACAACTTGTATATAATGCGGCAAAAAGTAAAAATTCAGTCAATAGCAATGAAGATGATGATGGACTCTTGGAAAAGTTAACCGGATTGCCTGTCGAAAGTATAATATGTGTTGAAGGGATTGTCGTAGAAAGATCCAAAGAAAATTATAATGAAGTATGATTTTGAGATTTCATGCCCATTTTTAATATTAGAAATTAAGAATTTTTTTTATTGTAAACTTTTTCTCTTTAGCACATGCCTACAGGTGAGATAGAAGTACAGATTGATAAATTGTATTGTCTAAATCCCGCAAAACCATTACCTTTTTACCCTACAGATAAAAAATTAGTAAGTCAATTATTTTTCTAAAAGTTCTACAACTGGCTAGACATCAAAGCATTCATATATTCAGATTATTTTAATCGGCTAGATTAATGAAGAGGTTCGTCTTAGAAATAGATGTATCGATTTACGTCGTGATATAATGCAAAAGAATCTTCGTACTCGTTCACGTGTATCATCGATAATTCATAACTTTCTAGATAACGAAGGTTCATGTATTTTTTAATTATATACAGATAATGCGTAGTTAAGCAATGAAATATTGATCGATTTATGAATTAATTAACACTCAATTAAAATGTTTCAGGATTCGTGGAGGTAGAAACCCCTCTGCTTTTTAAATCAACACCAGAGGGCGCAAGAGAATTCATTGTGCCAACTCGTACTATTGGATCTTTTTACGCGTTACCGCAAAGCCCACAACAAGTAAATAAATTTTTGTTTTTCTTTTGTTCTAGTCATTTACTTTATTGCCTTTTTTTTACTCGAATGATTCTATTTAAAAGTACAAGCAATTATTAATTGCCGGTGGTATTGATAAATATTATCAAATTGCTAAGTGTTTCCGTGATGAGGATCTAAGAGCGGACAGACAACCTGAATTCACACAAGTCAGTCAGTAAGCATATTATTTTAATATGCAAATGTTGTTACTATTCCTTTTTGTTTAATATATAAAAACTAATATGTAGTAAATTTTTTAAACTTCTAGATTGATTTAGAGATGTCATTTGTAACCGCTGCAGATGTTACTTCGCTTATTGAAAGACTGATGGTTCGAATCTGGAAAGATATTGTTGGAATTGAATTAATCCCTAATAAATCTTTTCCGCGAATCTCATATCAAGATGCTATGCGTAGGGTATACATGCATATATTTTATTCAACTCTAATTTTTATTATTCGAATGTGACTATATACATTCATTCTTTTTATTTAAGTTCGGTACTGACAAGCCGGATACACGTTATGAACTCGAGGTTTGGGCATTATTTATTATTTTCAGATTACATTATTAATATATTTATAAACAAATGTATTATTTATTAAGATTTCAGATATTTCTAATTACCTGTCTGATATCCTTGACCAATCGAAATCCAAGGTCGAATGTCTTGTAATAAAAAAAGGAGGAACATTTACTGGCGCAGAAATCAAAAGCATCGAACAGCTTGCTAATCAATCATTAAATCAAGGAAAAAAGCCAGATTCGTCTGTAAGTTCTGCAATTATCCTCTAAACAGACTTTAAAGAATTAAATTGATCTGATGGTCATTAATTAAATTTATTAAAGCTATTGAACTTTGTCAAAATCAAAGAAAATAATATTAACACATGGATCAGCAAAGCCAATGTTATAAGACAATCAACCAATGCCACATCTATGCAAGAAGAGATCACAAAGGAGTTAAATGTGGAGATTGGTGACTTAGTAGTTGTGAGCAAGAGCGATGCCAGATTATCAGTGAGTTACGTTATATTCAGACATAGCTTTTTGTTGGAGCGTTAATATATATATATTGCATAACTATAAGGGTGTTAACTGGACAACGATCGGCCGTATACGTACAAATGCCGCGAATTTATTAAGAAGTAAAGGTAAGATACTGTCATATTTATAATTCTAACTATATTTACTATATTTTAATTTATCTTTAAATCTCAATATACGCGTGATTTAGGCTTAATCCAGTTTAAACCTAGCCTTTCAAATTTTCTCTGGGTTGAACAATTTCCATTATTCACACGAGATCAAGATACTGGGTTGCTAACATCCACTCACCATCCATTTACGTCACCTGAGCCTGGTGACATTAACTTATTGTTTGACAATCCGGAACTAGTAAAAATACTTTTATTTTACTTGATCTATTTTTAATTGATATCCTATAGATATATTTCTTTAATATTTCTATATATTTTATTTGTCGTGCCAGGTTCGAGGTCAACACTATGACTTAGTTCTAGATGGTGTAGAAATAGGTGGTGGTTCCATTCGTGTACATTCCTTTGAGTTACAGCAAGATATCCTAGAAAATATATTAAAGGTAAATAAAATAAATGCATCGATCTAACGGAATGTGTATCACAAAGCGTAATTTATTTGATTTTGCTTTTTTTAAAAAAAAAAACAACAGATCAAAGACATTAAACAAGCTGGTTTTCAGCATTTAATCGATGCACTTGGAAGTGGGTGTCCGCCGCATGGTGGTATTGCATTAGGTGGGAGAATTTTACTATTATATTAAAATTACACTGCTGACCAATATTAATCAAGATATTTTGGTTTTCCTGAAATAATTATTACACAGGTTTTGACAGGCTCATGTCTGTTATTTTAAGGACTGAGTCCATACGTGACGTGATCGCATTCCCAAAAAATGGAACTGGAAATGATCTTTGTGTTGGCAGTCCTTCTTTTATTTCTAAAGAGAGAATACGTCTCGATTATGGCATACAATTATTGTCATCATCATTTGATGAAAACCAATAATAAGATAAAGATAATGATAAAATTTTTGTCATTACCTATCTCATAGTATAATAAGCCGGTTAGGTTTATCTTTATATTTTTGGCTTTGAAACGCATATATTTATTTTCTTTTACTCCGCATCTTCCTCGAGACTTCTCGTTTTCCCAAAAAAGCTTATTAGTTATTATCGATGATGTTTATTAGCTTATATGAATAGAACTATTTTATATACATATATAATAATAGTATATATCGAGTAGTTAAAAAAAATGAATTGTTGCTAATTCATTAATTATAACTAATTATTGTTCCTTCTCGAATTGTTTCTATATCAAACACCCAGAAATTAAAATCTTTCTAAATGAAATAAGGTGCATGAAGCCAGCTCGCACTTGACCTTATATATGTATATATATATATTTGCCTCTTGAGTGTTGTGTATGAAAATATGTTACAGGAATGGAAAAAATTGTGCGCGAGATGCAGAAATATAAATGTATATAATAATTTACTAAACAAGATCCCTAGTATTTGATTTAAATGCATGATAAAATTAATAATAATAATAATAAATAACAATAATAATGCTGATGATGCTGATGATGATGATGGTGATGATGAGGATGAGGATGAGGATGATGATGGTGGTGATGATGATGATGGTGGTGATAATAGTAATGAAAATAATAATAGATCAAGCAAAGATGAAACCATAAATTCTTTTACAATCTTCTCAGACTCGCAGTTTACGTGCATTGATTGACTGGTTGACAATTTTCGACCTTCGTTCTCCTTATCCTTTCCACATCCAAGAGAGACAAATGAAATTCGATATATCAATATAATAATCAACATAATGATCACAAACAAACACATCGACTCCTTCTGATCTTGTTATTATCATCCTTTTGACCATCTTTTCGTTCCCGAATCTTTCGCATCAGTTGAGTGTAGACCTCATCCACATTTTGTCGTGTTTTTGCCGAAGTCTCAATGTATGGGCATCCCCATTCTAATGCTTTCCGTTGGGCTTCCTCTCGTGTTACTTTACGTATTTGTGCCAAATCTGATTTATTGCCCACTAAGATAAATGGAATCTAAAAATGTAAGAGATTTCAATTAACAATAAATCATCATCGTGATTACGACAAATTATTACAAGGATTTACATACGCTATCATCATCAAGTACCCTTGAAATTTGATCCCGAAAATCTTGTGTATGATTAAATGATTCATGCTCAGAAATAGAAAATACACACAAGAATCCTTCACCTGAGCGATAATAATTATCACGAATCTAGTAAAATTGTCAGTGGGTTAAGGAAATTAATCCAATATTATTTTTCAAAGAGAGAACAAGAACAGAAAAAGGATACAGCAGCGTATTCTTCTTGACCAGCTGTATCGAGAATATCTATTTGACATTCTTGATTATCCAGGATGACTTTCTTACGATATGAGTCAGCTTTAGTTGGGTCATATTCTTCAACAAAGTCACCGTACATGTATTGTAGTGTTAAGGCAGATTTTCCTACTCCACCACTACCAACCATAATGACTTTGTGAAGTGGAAGATCTTGTTTAACTTTTTTACCCATTTTTTGGATTGATTCTCTGTAAATACTTGAAGATTTAAAGTTATATTTTTCTGAAGAAAATCTATATTTTAGAGAGTGTGAAGAACTATTGTTAAAAAAAACCCCCCGAAAAGTTATCAACTACACTACGACGAATATTATGACAATTATATTATGGTGATGACGATACAAGAAATGTAAATGTAAATGTAATAGATGTAATAGATGGTAGAATATATATAGAAAATATAGATATATATAAATATATATAATATATATAATATATATTTATATATCAAAAGAGAAATAAATATAAAGGTGTGTTAATTTGTTTTTGTCAATAATGTGTTAAAAATGATAAAATCATCAAATTGAGAAACGAAAATACACATGATAGCAATATATTATTTACAATATAAATAAATAAGTAATAGATAACAGGCACAACGGAAAAATCACCCATCACAGAAAGGCGAAGCGGCACGAGTTTGTATGACCAATCTCTTTTTCATTGGTATTTAATATGTAATAATACCTTATTCTTTTTCCAATGACGGGTTAAATTTGATATACTCTTCTCGATTTTATCTTATTCATTTTCGTTATCTCATTATTCTGGAAAATAAAACAATAAAAAATAATAAGGTAACGTATGTTTTCTTTGTTTTTGATTATGGGTGAAAAGTCACGTTCTTTTTTTATACACGTTTTCTTCTGAACAAGGGTAAAATCCTTCATTTTTTAACGTTAAAACGTTAAACCAGATTTTTAAACGTTTTTTTCTCAGTTAGGTAATAAAAATACAACGAAAGATAAAGGCGTACTTACATTATTTCTAATATTAAATCGGTTATTTTTATCTAAGTTTTCAAATTTATGTGGGGAAATGATCATCATCTTACAAATTCAGATTTCTTTAACGTTAATCAATCACTTTTCACTTTCCTCTTTTGTTTGATTTTCATACTTGATGAATGCAAGGGACGCGATATTTATAGTTTCATCATCATTCTACACAATGTACTAACCCTTATTTGTATTAACGCCCATACCCTAAGTGAGATCCATCATTCAAAAAATACTTGTGTGAATTCGTGCGTGCTTGCATCTTTGCAATTTAGGTTGGTTTAACGCTATTCCGGCGCTCTCTATGCGTCTATTTTATATATGACCTCATTAATTCTCTTATTTATTTATTCATTGTGGTGTAATAAAAAGTATTTTATAAGATTATTTTAAATTTCCCACCATATTTTATTATGAAAATACTGCTTAATACTCGATGCTATTAGGGAAGTGACATATACAGTCATACCTTCATATAAGGGAACATAAAAAAGTGTGACTTTAAAGCGTTTTCTGACTAATATAGATAATAACTGGAAAGTGATCGTATAGAGATATTTTCGGGCCACGTTATGTGAATATCGTGACTTTAAGATAAATAACAATTTTGCCTATAAATTATTGCTTTTATCTTTTAACCATAATCGAAATATTATGCAATTTGATTGGTTTACCATATAAAAATCACGTTATTCACATGGCCCGAAAAAGAGACGATCGTCCCAGTGAATTTCTTAAACCAGATCAAAAAATTAATAACTAACAAAATGTATTAAGATAACTAATACAAATTTATAAGTTATTTACTAATGCTTTTAATATTAAACTTAAGACTATTTATTTTAATAAAATAATAATAATTATGAAAGAATTAAAAATCTGAGTTTTATTAAATAAAATAAAAGAATCTGTATTAGTATATATTAGTTTTACATTATTTATATAATACTTTTTTAATATATTATAATAGAAATTAGCTATAGTAATTTTACTTTTATTAAAAATATATATTTTAATTATAATAAATTTACTAAATCTAATTTTAGTTTGATATTAACTAGTATTTATTAAATTATCTGTTAAAATTCTATATATTTATAAGTTATATTAGCAATTAATTACTTGAATTTTTTGTTTTTATTTTTTAATTTTATAAAATTTATTTTTTTATATTTATAAATATTTTTATTATCTTTTTTATAATTTATATTTTCTAAGTTTATATATTTCTTTCAAAATTATTAACAATTAAAATTGATTAATTCTTTTATAAAGAATTTTATTTAGAAATTTTAATCAAATTTAATAACTTTATAAGTTTTATTTTTTTTTAATATAATATTATAATACTTAATAATATTAAAACTTAATATAAGTTTTTTAATTTTAAGTAATATTCTATAATTTTTTAATTAATTAGATTTATTTTTTTTTGAAATTAATAAATATTTTTAATATAATTTATAAAAACAATCAAGTTCTATATCAAGAATATAATCTTTAAATATATTATTTAAAATTTTATATTTATTAAATTTATTAAGTAATTCTTGATTTTACAAAAAATTAATCTATTTATATTTTTTTAATTAATATTATTTTTATTATTATTTTAATATATAGTAATAATTAAAAGTAATGACTCAGAGACTAAATTTATTAATAAAATATAATGAAAATTAAAATTTTCTCTCTATATTAAAATTTATAATTTTATTAAGAAATA